ATCACAAAGCCCTGACCTTAATCCTATAGAAAATGTGTGGGCAGAACTGAAAAAGCATGTGAGAACAAGGAGCCCTACAAACCTGACTCAGTTACACCAGCTCTGTCAGGAGGAATGGGCCAAAATTCACCCAACTTATTGTGGGAAGCTTGTGGAAGGCTACCCGAAACGTTTGACCCAAGTTAAACAATTTAAAGGCTATGCTACCAAATACTAATTGAGTGTATGTAAACTTCTGACCCACTGGGAATGTGATGAAAGAAATAAAAGCTGAAATATATAATTATCTCTACTATTATTCTGACATTTTACATTCTTCAAATAAAGTGGTGATCCTAACTGACCTAAGACAGGGAATTTTTACTAGGATTAAATGTCAGGAATTGTGAAACACTGAGTTTAAATGTATTTGGCTAACGTGTATGTAAACTTCCGACTTCAACTGTACCTCAGCTGGTATTCCATCCAGCCCTGGAGTTTTCCCAGGCTTTAATTGCATCAACAAAAAAGTTCCCCCTATGTACTTTGACCTTCACATGAGTCTTTCTGTACAGCTGTTAATTTTACACTATTAATAGAAAAAAATCCTTATAATTAACTTCAGTTAGTGGAGATGGAGGAGACTGAAATGAAAACACATGCTTAAAGTACTTTGCTTCCTCTTTCAAAATATATTTTGGTAAATCATGGATGACTCCGTCATTTGTAAGAAGTTTCTGTAAATGATTTTTGGTAGCATTTACTGTATATGTTGCCTGTGTGCATCTATCAGTTACACATACATGTCAGTACATACACACAAGAAGTAGGTCACATGGAGGAGAGGCGTTGTATATTGTGACTGTGTATCAAACTGTGTAGTTTTAGCAATGATAAATTGTACAGCAAACTCAGTAATGAACATTACAATCGCACCCTAAAGATCCTAAGCATGGATCAAGGCCCGTGGAAATAATCAATGCAATGGCTATTACTCTTCCAAAGTTGCTGTTATTCAATTGGGGGGTTAATATCTATCATCCCATCCATTGACACTGGCAAAAATGAAGTAGCAAAGACCAGTTATTTTAGCCTTCATCTTTGAGAGTTGAGGCTGGGTTCTTCCTATTGTCTACACTCCTTCCCTTTAATAACCCAGGGGTAGACAGACTAGACTCCCTAGCCTGTAAGCTTACCTACAGTGGGGAGAACAAGTTTTTGATTCCCTGCCGATTTTGCAGGTTTTCCTACTTACAAAGCATGCAGAGGTCTGTAATTTCTATCATAGGTACACTTCAAGCAATTACATACGTTTCCTGTAGGTCTTGACCAGGTTTGCACACACTGCAGCAGGGATTTTGGCCCACTCCTCCATACAGACCTTCTCCAGATCCTTCAGGTTTCGGGGCTGTCGCTGGGCAATACGGACTTTCAGCTCCCTCCAAAGAATTTCTATTGGGTTCAGGTCTGGAGACTGGCTAGGCCACTCCAGGACCTTGAGATGCTTCTTACGGAGCCACTCCTTAGTTGCCCTGGCTGTGTGTTTCGGGTCGTTGTCATGCTGGAAGACCTAGCCACGACCCATCTTCAATGCTCTTACTGAGGGAAGGAGGTTGTTGGCCAAGATCTCGCGATACATGGCCCCATCCATCCTCCCCTCAATAAGGTGCAGTCGTCCTGTCCCCTTTGCAGAAAAGCATCCCCAAAGAATGACGTTTCCACCTCCATGCTTCACGGTTGGGATGGTGTTCTTGGGGTTGTACTCATCCTTCTTCTTCCTCCAAACACGGCGAGTGGAGACCGAGGGTGATTGACCGTCATCTTGAACTTCTTCCATTTTCTAATAATTGCGCCAACAGTTGTTGCCTTCTCACCAAGCTGCTTGCCTATTGTCCTGTAGCCCATCCCAGCCTTGTGCAGGTCTACAATTTTATCCCTGATGTCCTTACACAGCTCTCTGGTCTTGGCCATTGTGGAGAGGTTGGAGTCTGTTTGATTGAGTGTGTGGACAGGTGTCTTTTATACAGGTAACAAGTTCAAACAGGTGCAGTTAATACAGGTAATGAGTGGAGAACAGGAGGGCTTCTTAAAGAAAAACTAACAGGTCTGTGAGAGCCGGAATTCTTACTGGTTGGTAGGTGATCAAATACTTACGTCATGCAATAAAATGCAAATTAATTACTTAAAAATCATACAATGTGATTTTCTGGATTTTTGTTTTAGATTCCGTCTCTCACAGTTGAAGTGTACCTATGATAGAAATTACAGACCTCTACATGCTTTGTAAGTAGGAAAACCTTCAAAATCGGCTGTGTATCAAATACTTGTTCTCCCCACTGTATGTCAAAGCAGTAGACTCCACACTGAAAAATATTATGTTTCTCAAATGGTTTTTCCTCAGCTCTTAAGGTTCCTTGGAGAACTCTTGCCTGATAAAGAACATTGAGTTAAGAGTGGGGTTCTTGATGTGGCATCTACGGTTCTTCAGAATTCTGAAAGGTTCTTGAAATATATGGAAGCCTGCAGATATGTCCCTTTCATAGCACACAGCAAATTGGCCAGTATAAATTAGTGTTGAATTTTCAGTGTAACAATAAATAAAAAATATCTACTTTTATTTGTCACATGCGCCGAATACAACAAGTGTAGACTTTACCGTGAAATGCTTACTTACGAGCCCTTTTCCAACAATGCAGTTAAAAAGTAAGAAAATTAACAAATACATAAAAATAAAATAGTAACACAATAAAATAACAATAACAAGGCTATATACAAGTTATATACAAGGAGTACTGGTACCGAGTCAGTGTACTGGGGTACGAGGTAGTTGGGTGGATTGATTGAGGTAATATGTACATGCAGGTTTGGTTAGGTGATTGATTGAAGTACGATGTACATGTAGGTAGGGGGTGAAAAGCAGAAAGTCTGGGTAGCCTTTTAATGAACTGTTCAGCAGTCTTATGGCTTTGGGGTAGAAGCTGTTCAGGAGCCTTTTGGTCCCAGAGTTGGTGCTCCTGTACCGCTAGCCGTGATGTAGCAGAGAGTGTTGAGTCAGGAGTTAAATGAACACTGTAAAGAGTTAAATTAACACTCACTGGTGTAAAGAACCCCAGTGTTGGTGTTAATAACCAGACGTGAACCAAAACCATGGCCATTATTATCATATTTCCCAGCATGCTCTATTGCAGGCTGATTTTTAGAATTGTTTGTTTCAATATCTATGTTTTTGCATGTACATTGATTGATTGATTAATCTTATGCTACTCAAATATATATGACATAATTATTTTTGTACTATTCCAATTTGTTACTTATTGCACCTGTTACTGAAATGGTTGTTTCAGTTTAGATGTTTAAGGTAGTCTCATATTGTTTTCTTCCCAACTCTGGCAGTCATTATTTTTAAGAGTGCGGGAAGACATTCTCCAGCCTGCAGCTTGGACACTAAAAATGCCAAGTGTTAGATAATCCAATAGGATTACACATCACTTTGCAAACCAGCATAATGTGATATTCAGGCCTGATGTGGCATGTAAACTATGAGTTTCATTTTGTTTTTTTCCCTAGCACTACACAGTTGATTCAAATAACCAACCCATCATCAAGCTTGGATTATTCAGCTGTGTAGTGCTACTGCAAAAAAACAAAATGTGCACCCTGCAGGGGGGCCCCCAATCGAGTACCCCCAACAGCACACATTTTTGTTGTAGTCCCGGACAAACATACCTGATTCAACACATTGAGGGCCTGATGATTAGCTGACAAGTTGAATCAGGTGTGCTTGTCCGGGGCTACAATAAAAATGTGTACTTTTAGGGGTACTCAAGGACCTGAGCAGGGTTTCCCAAACTCAGTCCTGGGCCCCCCCCTGCAGGGTGCACGTTTAGTTTTTTTGCAGTAGCACTACACAGCTGAATAATTCATGCTTGATGATGGGTTGGTTATTTGAATCAACTGTGTAGTGCTAGGGAAAAAAAACAAAATGTGCACCCAGGGAGGGCCCCAGGACCCAGCCTCAGGACCGAGTTTGGGAAACCCTGTTCTAGAGGATCATGTTCTCTCATGTTTCACACAAACACAAACACAAACACACAAACACACAAACAAACAAACACACAAACACACAAACAAACACACAAACACACAGTTACTTACCTGGGGCTTGGCGGTTCACCTTTCGTTTCCTTGTCAACACAGTTTCCACTTGCTAAGGCATTCTGTCTATAGAAACAGACACAAGTGGGTCTAAATAATTTATTGTATTTGCTTTACCATAAGTATTGTGGAGGAGAAGGAATTTGCCTCAGGTGATCCTAGTAGAGTTTGCTGGCTAAGCAGTCTGCTGCACTACCTTTGCAATGCACTTAAACTAGAATGCAAGGTGATATCACACAACTATTTTTGACAGTGTATGTAAGAATAAAACAATATAATTCAATGCAGCACATTTCATACATTATATTATTTTGAATAATTGATCACAGCTCATGTTTTCTCAGAGTAGGCCTAAACTAGGTAATGTACTTTCAGCTCAATAAATGTAACCACAAATGAATGTTTTATTTGTACCAGAGGGGAGAATAAACCTTAATAGACACGTGACACGTGGTTTCCTCGTAGTCTACTGTGGCTGCAGAAAGAAGCGCTCCTTAGCCATATATCTGATCTCAGACCAGCTTTTCCAACCTTCAGCCGACATCAAGCCGATGCATACAATGACGCCATAAAACCACACACTGATCCGCAGTCAGACCTTCAGCCCCCTCTCAAATATTAAATCGCATAGTGCGCTGTCCTCCGCACAGAGAGAGATTCGAGAGGACGTGTTGACGTGTGCAATATCCATTTTGTTCATTTGCCGGTGTTGTCAATTCGGTCGGGGCTACAGGGTTATAAACACGTATTTTAATAACCGTTAGCCTTTCAAGGCTAAATCAAAAGGCATCCTGGAAGAAACGGGTGAACCGAAGATCCCTACGCAGCATGGATTCTATGTAACTCCGGCAAAATGTAATGAGGAGATGGCTCCGGGAGAGAAAGATCATCAGGGTACCAACCGTATAGTGTTGGTGAAGAAAATTATCATGAAAGATGGGCCCACGGTATGTGAATGAATCGTCTTTATTTAGGTATCCTAACAATTGTAACCGGGAATGTGTATGTAACAATGTAACCGATGTTCACATAAACCGCAAACGATGCAGCATCAGCTGTGAGGCTATGACATAAGCGGACATTATGCACTCAGCATACAGTGCACCACACGCTATTGCCAAACAGCTTTGACATGTTGATCAATTTGTTAATAGATTATCAATAGTGATAGGAGATGGTTACATCGCAATGTCTTTTGGAAGGACGCGGCCGGTAATATATCGGGGTTGCATCTTGCGGAAGGCCTAGCTGCAGATAGTTTATTGAATGAAGACCGTATAATATTGTCATGCCGCTGCCAATAGCCTACTGTATTACATAACATCCCCGGCTACCTCTCAATGCAATCTGTTTGCATGATAATTCCATAATCATATTCATAGACTGGTTCATTATCATGATAATACCTTTTGGTTTTTTAGATGCATAAGGCCTATTTGTATCTATTTTGTATAGATAATAGAGTCCAGATCCCCCTGCAATAAAAAAACAAACACTTTTATTTATTGCCGCAACCTCTATCCTTTCATGAACTGTTGGTGTTGATGATGTTGGAGGTGCTCCAGGCAGGTTGTTTGTCCCACAGTGCCCTCGGATTTAAACCTCCTCATAGGCTAAACATTAGCCAATAGCCAGCTGTTAGGACCATAGGTGTTACCATGGTGTTTCCTTGGAAAGGAAAGGTGACCTGGACCAAAAACAAAATTACAGATGGCCTAATTTAAAAATAAACAATATTCTATTCTATTATGTAATCTGAGCTATCACATCAAAGTGGATTGGGACATTCATTTTAGATCAGCGGTTTTATTTGTAGCAAACAACACAAATAAACGCTTAGGCCTAAGTCTATTTTCCACAGCATGGTAAGCAAGCAGTGATTCAATCTCCATTAGGCCTGGCTACTATGTATGTCTAATTTCTCAGTTTAGACAAGGTGATGATAACGTGATTCGCCCCTTGCATGACAGCGAGCTGAGATCACAACCACATCTCAATCTCCTCCAGTCCTCACTCACGCATACATATTACATACACACAGGAAAAACTTGGTGCACTCACTGTGAGGAATAGGGAATTGGGGGCCCCATCTCATCTCCACTGTTATGCAACGGCCATGTCCCAAGCTTCCCAAGCTGCAGGCTGCCTCACACTGTGCTGTGAAGTAGCTAGGGGCCTGTGCTAATCTATCTATCTTTTCTATGCCATTGCCTTCCTCAAATACCACTGCTGTCTGTCCTTGCTCAGGGATGTCCTAGGAGACAATGGCCACGTGGATGTCTTCAAATAGCAAAGTGACTGATTCACCTTGACAGAGAAGCAGTGGGCTCTTTTTATTGATTATTTTGATTTGGACTCCTCTTGACCATCTCATTCAGAAAGATCTACAGTATCAGAGTGTAGATCAATAAATGGTTGCTTTAGGAAATTGTTTTCCTAATAGTGCATATTGTATGTCTGCTTCAAAAAGAATATACTGCACTTGTCAAAATAAGTCCAGGCACTCAAATATAGCAAACCCATTCACAGGGTCCTGATAATGATTTTATATGCTTTGTGATTATGGTGAAAAGGTGGTTGTTTATCATCTCAAGTGACCTTTTTGAAACGCTGTTTACATTTTTCTCACACTGTAAAAGCTGCTAATTTCCGTAGTGTATGTTTTAACATGGAATACAATATGTTCTAAAATGGCCGACTTTCTTTCCTGTGTGTTGCAGCCGGGCCAGGGCATTGGCAGACCCAGTGTCTCCCATGCTGTGGTGGTCATCTTCCTGGAGTTCTTTGCCTGGGGTCTCCTTACCACTCCAATGCTGACAGTGAGTTACATCTCTATCTGGCCTGCCTGGTTATCAGCTTATCTGTCTAATTGGTCTTTTGACCAACCAGATCAGCTTTGAAAAATATCTGACGTGAAAAGATCAGATGTGATTGGTCAAAAGACTAATTAGTGCAAAAAAGATCCGAATTAGACTGCCTCTGTAAACGCAGCCAAATTCATATGTTTTTCCATTTACACATGCAGCCTAATTCGGATCTTTTTCCACTGATTAATCAGATAAGCTCTTTTGGCAGTAATTGGGCAAAATATCAGAAATGGCCTATCTAGGTCTATCTACACCAGGGGTGTCAAACTCATTCCATGGAGGGCCTACTTTCTGCAGGTTTTTGGTTTTTCCTTTCAATTAAGACCTAGACAACCAGGTGAGGGGAGTTCTTTACTAATTAATTATCTTAATTAATCAATCAAGTACAAAGGAGGAGTAAAAACCTGCAGACACTCTGCCCTCCGTGGAATGAGTTTGACACGTGATCTACACTGAAATAAATAAAGGTTCTTAAATGGTTCTTCCTCAGCTCTTAAGGTTCCTTGAAGAACTCTTGCCAAATAAATAACATTTGAGTTAAGTGTGGTGTACTTGATGTGGCATCTACAGTTCTTCTGAATTTTAAAAGGTTCTTGAAATTTCTAGTGTTGATTCAAGAATTAAATGGATCAAAATTGGTGTTAATAACCAGAGTTTAACCAAAACCACGCCCATCATTATCATATTTCCCAGCATGATCTATTGCAGGTTATTTTATTTTTTCAATATCTATGTGTGTGTATATATATATATTATGTTGTTGTTGTACTTTTACGTGATATCCAATTGGTACTTACAGTCGTGGTATTGGTCTTCACAAAGTTTGCTGCTTCAGTGTTTTTAGATATTTTTGTCAGATGTTACTAGGGTATACTGAAGTATAATTACAAGCATTCCATAAGTGTTAAAGGCTTTTATTGACAATTACATTTAGTTTATGCAAAGAGTCAATATTTGCAGTGTTGACCCTTCTTTTTCAAGACCTCTGCAATCCGCCCTGGCATGCTGTCAATTAACTTCTGGGCCACATCCTGACTGATGACAGCCCATTCTTGCATAATCAATGCTTGGAGTTTGTCAGAATTTGTGGGTTTTTGTTTGTCCACCCGCCTCTTGAGGATTGACCACAAGTTCTCAATGGGATTAAGGTCTGGGGAGTTTCCTGGCCATGGACCCAACATTTCGATGTTTTGTTCCCCGAGCCACTTAGTTATCACTTTTGCCTTATGGCAAGGTGCTCCATCATGCTGGAAAAGGCATTGTTCGTCACCAAACTGTTCTTGGATGGTTGGGAGAAGTTGCTCTCAGAGGATGTGTTGGTACTATTCTTTATTCATGGCTGTGTTCTTAGGCAAAATTGTGAGTGAGCCCACTCCCTTGGCTGAGAAGCAACCCCACACATGAATGGTCTCAGGATGCTTTACTGTTGGCATGACACAGGACTGATGGTAGCGCTCACCTTGTCTTCTCCGGACAAGCTTTTTTCCGGATGCCCCAAACAATCGGAAAGGGGATTCATCAGAGAAAATGACTTTACCCCAGTCCTCAGCAGTCCAATCCCTGTACATTTTGCAGAATATCAGTCTGTCCCTGATGTCTTTCCTGGAGAGAAGTGGCTTCCTCACTGCCCTTCTTGACACCAGGCCATCCTCCAAAAGTCTTCGCCTCACTGTGCGTGCAGATGCACTCACACCTGCCTGCTGCCATTCCTGAGCAAGCTTTGCACTGGTGGTGCCCCGGTCCCGCAGCTGAATCAACTTTAGGAGACGGTCCTGGCACTTGCTGGACTTTCTTGGGCGCCCTGAAGCCTTCTTCACAACAATTGAACCTCTCTCCTTGAAGTTCTTGATGATCCGATAAATGGTTGATTTAGGTGCAATCTTACTAGCAGCAATATCCTTGCCTGTGAAGCCCTTTTTGTGCAAAGCAATGATGACGGCACGTGTTTCCTTGCAGGTAACCATGGTTAACAGAGAAAGAACAATGATTTCAAGCACCACCCTCCTTTTAAAGCTTCCAGTCTGTTATTCTAACTCAATCAGCATGACAGCGTGATCTCCAGCCTTGTCCTCGTCAACACTCTCACCTGTGTTAACGAGAGAATCACTGACATGATGTCAGCTGGTCCTTTTGTGGCTGGGCTGAAATGCAGTGGAAATGTTTTTTTGGGATTAAGTTCATTTTCATGGCAAAGAGGGACTTTGCAATTAATTGCAATTCACCTGATCACTCTTCATAACATTCTGGAGTATATGCAAATTTCTGTCATAAAAACTGAGGCAGCAGACTTTGTGAAAATTAATATTTGTGTCATTCTCAACTTTTGACCACGACTGTACAGTCTTGTCCCATCGCTGCAACTCCGCTACGGACTCGGGAGAGGCTACATTCTCAGAAACATGACCCTGCTTCTTGACACACTGCTCGCTTAACCTGGAAGCCAGCCGCACCAATGTGTCAGTGGAAACACCGTCCAGCTTGCGACCGGCCTGCCACAAGGAGTCACTAGAGTGCGATGGGACAAGGAAATCCTGGCCGGCCAAACCCTCCCCTAACCCGGACGACGCTGGCCAATTGTGCTCCACCTCATGGGTCTCCCGGTCACGGCCGGCTCAAGCAGTGACGCCTCAAGCACTGCGATGCAGTGACTTACACCGCTGCGCCACTCGGGAGGCCCAATATCTATGGTTTTGCATGTACATTGATTGATTAATTCATCTCATGCTAACATACATGTTTCTAAACTATTCCAATCCGTTACTGAAATGGTTGTTCCAGTTTAGATGTTTAAGGTAGTCTCATATTTTAGTCTTCCCAACCCTGGAGGTCATACTGAATACAGGTTGTGGGTGGATAAAAAAATCCAACATTTTGGTTAGCCCCACTGTGGCTGGATTCCAATAGGAATTACACATCACTTTCCAAGCCAACATAATGTGACTTGCAGGCCTAATGTGGCCTGTAAACCAAGAGTTTCAGGCCACTGTATTAGGGTAAAACTAGGCCCTCAAAAGAAGGCCTTATAAAATATGTTTAATTGTATTTATTTTTTTAATGTAATTTTATGACAACATATTCACTTAGGATCTCAATTGGTGAAGGCCACAGGACTGAATGTATGAATACAGCCATGTCTCTGTCACTAGAAAACACAGTCATGGGTGGTAACTCTAAAACTCACCCGAAAGGCACCATGGGAAAAATAGGGCTTTAAACCCTACAGCAGGGCTATTGAATTCTGGTCCTGCATGGCCGAAACATGTCTGGTGTTGGATTTTTGTGTGGTTCTTCAAAGAACCATCCCATTTATGGATCTTCAGAGACCCTCAAATGGGTCCCCTATTGTACTTTTATTTTTAAGAGTGTAGGGCTCTTTCTAAAACAAAATGGCCTTTATTCCTCGCATCCGTCTTCTCACAATCTCTCGTGGACAGACTACGTAAACTTAAATGGTACCGTAGATCTGTCATGATACAAGAGGATGCATGAGATAACGAGCAGCATTAGTACTGTGCTTTGGACAAATCTTGATTTCGCAGGTATTATAATCTTTTGAATTTCGGAAATGGAGGGGACATTTGGCCAATAGACTTGCCTGTAACTCCGGTTCCGATCCTCGTTCTATCTCTTCTCTTAACACGTATGGACCCAGAACATAATCGAGCATCTGACCAATTAAGCAAGACTTTAGTTCTGGGTTAACTGAGATTAATCTTCTCAAAACGCATTGGGATGGAGGGACCTTGGCCCTTCCCTCCAATACAGTTGAGAAGGAGGCGAGAAAGGAGGTTATGAGGAATTACAGAATTACTAATTGAGATATAGAGAGAGACCTACAGGCTCTTTCTGACAGTCATCCTTATCTAGCTCTTATTTTGCTCTTCATCTTTCTATTCTCACCTTCTCTGTCTGTCTCCCTTCCCTATGGAATGGTCTAGTAAAACGCACCTGTGTTTTTGTGGTGTTGTTTTTTAGGGTAGATTTCTTGGCTTGTTAAAATGCTTATGTGTGTGTGTGTGTGTGTGTGTGTGTGACTGTTATGGTTTCTTGGCAGCCTTTCTGTGGAACAGCCCTGTTAAAGATGGTTTTGGTTTTTCTGTGGTTCTTTGCAGGTTTTACATGAAACTTTTCCACAACACACGTTTCTGATGAATGGCCTCATTCAAGGGGTGAAGGTAAGATATCAGACTTAGAAATAACTAAATACTAACAGTTTTGTTTAGCAAAGACTACAAACAGTATATCTTCCAAAACATAAACCAATTATGTCATTTATTGATCACTGCTATGCTACAGAGGACCCATCCATAGAGTTGCATCCCTGAGCGATTGAACAAATGCAGCACACTAAACTGTATTCTGTGTACTCTAGCTCATCTTTTTTCAGTATCTTATTTCATAATAAGTGCATGTTTATTATAGGTAATTTCAGGATACCGTAGAGCAGCCATTTTCGTGCTGCTACTTGATTGTAATCAAGCTCACTCTCATTTCCACTAAAGATGAATGAGGCTTCTCATTATGGGTTCCCGGTAACCATGACATTTTTAACAGACACTCCTCCCCTCTTCACCCTCCTCCTCAACAGGGTCTTCTGTCCTTCATGAGTGCCCCTCTGATTGGTGCCTTGTCAGACGTGTGGGGCAGACGGTCCTTCCTACTGGTCACTGTGTTCTTCACCTGCGCCCCCATCCCGCTTATGAGACTCAGTCCCTGGTAAGACCGCCCGTTTCTGCTGGCCAAGGAAAAAACACTTTTGTGATTTGGTTTAGTATTCATTGTGTATTTGATTAGAATTAAACAATACGCACATTTAAACATGAAATCTACACTCTTAAAAGTAAAAACATATAGGGTTTTTCGGTTTGTCCCCATAGGGGAACCCTTTTTGGTACTACCTAGAACCCTCTTTGAAGGTTTCCGCCTAGAACCCTCTATGAAGGGTTCTACCAAGAACCCTTTTATCCTCTAAAGATTCTCCCTAGAAATCTTGATGAAAGGTACCACCGAGAGCCCTTTTATGTTTGAAGGGTTCTTCCTAGAACCCTCTATGAGCACTTCCACCAGCCATATTAGCCTTTAAAGTTAAAGTCTTTAGGACAATACATTACATATATCAAAAGCCCTATCTTTGAGGGCCTAGGTATACCCTGACACTGGTGTTAGGAAACTCCTTGTTTACAGGCCACATCAGGCTTGCAAATCACATTATGCTCACTTGCAAAGTGATGTGTAATTCCTGTTGAAATCCAGCCAGAGTTAGGATATCTCACAACTGAAACTTTTGATGACCCTCAATCTTTAGTGATGGGGTAAACTAAGCTTCTTGAAGCATTGAGGGTATCCAGCCAATTGTGTGTCGAAAATAGGTTCATTACTCAAGCCTTTGATCAACAAAGTGTACACTAGTGGCACCTGCTGGTCAAAAGAATTTAGAGCAGCCAAATTATTATATATGACGTCCCACACACCGTAGCGTGTACGCAGGGTACCCTTGCACTTGCGTTTTGGTACACTATAAGTACATTAATTTCCAATGGAACGCTGCGTTTGCCTTGCAGCATTGCTTTGCAGAGGTAGTTGCACTGTGTTCTGTGTGGTACATACACTGCTCAAAAAACTAAAGGGAACAGTAAAATAACACATCCTAGATCTGAATGAATGAAATAATCTTATTAAATACTTTTTTCTTTACATAGTTGAATGTGCTGACAACAAAATCACACAAAAATTATCAATGGAAATCAAATTTATCAACCCATGGAGGTCAGGATTTGGAGTCACCCTCAAAATTAAAGTGGAAAACCACACTACAGGCTGATTCAACTTTGATGTAATGTCCTTAAAACAAGTCAAAATGAGGCTCAGTAGTGTGTGTGGCCTCCACGTGCCTGTATGACCTCCCTACAACGCCTGGGCATGCTCCTGATGAGGTGGCGGATGGTCTCCTGAGGGATCTCCTCCCAGACCTGGACTAAAGCATCCGCCAACTCCTGGACAGTCTGTGGTGCAACGTGGCGTTGGTGGAGCGAGACATGATGTCCCAGATGTGCTCAATTGGATTCAGGTCTGAGGAACGGGCGGGCCAGTCCATAGCATCAATGCCTTCCTCTTGCAGGAACTGCTGACACACTCCAGCCACATGAGGTCTAGCATTGTCTTTCATTAGGAGGAACCCAGGGCCAACCACACCAGTCTGAGGATCTCATCTCGGTACCTAATGGCAGTCAGGTTACCTCTGGCGAGCACATGGAGGGCTGTGCGGCCCCCCAAAGAAATGCCACCCCACACCATGACTGACCCACCGCCAAACCGATCATGCTGGAGGATGTTGCAGGCAGCAGAACGTTCTCCACGGCGTCTCCAGACTCTGTCACGTCTGTCACATGTGCTCAGTGTGAACCTGCTTTCATCTGTGAAGAGCACAGGGCGCCAGTGGGGAATTTGCCAATCTTGGTGTTCTCTGACAAATGCCAAACATCCTGCACAGTGTTGGGTTGTAAGCACAACCCCCACCTGTGGACGTCGGGCCCTCATACCACCCTCATGGAGTCTGTTTTTGACCGTTTGAGCAGACACATGCACATTTGTGGCCTGCTGGAGGTCATTTTGCAGGGCTCTGGCAGTGCTCCTCCTTGCACAAAGGCGGAGGTAGCAGTCCTGCTGCTGGGTTGTTGCCTTCCTACGGTCTCCTCCACGTCTCCTGATGTACTGGCCTGTCTCCTGGTAGCGCCTCCATGCTCTGGACACTACGCTGACAGACACAGCAAACCTTCTTGCCACAGCTCGCATTGATGTGCCATCCTGGATGAGCTGCACTACCTGAGCCACTTGTGTGGGTTGTAGACTCTGTCTCATGTTACCACTAGAGTGAAAGCACCGCCAGCATTCAAAAGTGACCAAAACATCAGCCAGGAAGCATAGGAACTGAGAAGTGGTCTGTGGTCACCACCTGCAAAACCAGTCCTTTATTGGGGGTGTCTTGCTAATTGCCTATAATTTCCACCTGTTGTCTATTCCATTTGCACAACAGCATGTGAAATGTATTGTCAATCAGTGTTGCTTCCTAAGTGGACAGTTTGATTTCACAGAAGTGTGATTGACTTGGAGTTATTGTGTTGTTTAAGTGTTCCCTTTATTTTTTTGAGCAGTGTACAAACATTTGATTTATCAAACGTATGCGTCAAACTGTATGGGTAAACGGGTTGACAGAAATCGTAGCAGAAGGTGAATGTTGAGCTTTTGTTGCACACATATCTAGCTGGTGCTGCATACTTTTTTGCGCATTACACAGTCGGTGTGTTCAAAGCGTTAATGTCTTCTACCGAAACCAATACCAAACCAATCAGGTGGTTGTTTGAAAAATTGATACAGGCACTTCGAAGTAAACTCCTTAACAATTTCGACGCATGTCTGGCGTACCGTTCTCAAATGTAATATCACTAGCAATCTGCATTCAGAATGACTGCAAATGTAGGGAAGAGACTACCTAAATCCTCTAAACTGGAACAATCATCTCAGTAACGGGTACAATAAATCCAACTACTAACAGATTGGATTAGTTTATGAAAAAGCATGTTATCGGTTTAGCATAAGATTAATCAACCATTCAATGTACATGCAAAAACACAGATATTGATACAAACAATTCTGAAAATCTACCTGCAATAGAGCATGCTGGGAAATATGATAATGATGGGCATGGTTTTGAGTCTTTTACTCTAGTAAAAATAACACAATCACTCGACTGGTTATTAAAACATTCTCACGCCTATCTTTTTAAATTGATCAGATTACTCAAACTCCTGATGTTAGTCTAAACACTGAGGTAAACACTAATGCTTTGGCAGTATTTAAAGTTGAACTGACAGCGTTTTAACTACTTTGCAGATATGAAACAGACAATCATAATATCAATCAAAAATATAAAATTCCCAGTTTATACTTCAAACCAACTTTATAAGAGGTTTTAAAGATAGGTTCTATTTGACTCAACATTCCATGATGTACAGTAAGGCATTGTTGGCAGAATATATGGATGTAGTTCAATGCATTATTCATATAATTCACCAATACATTTCTTGGTAGTCCCCAAAATATTGCTATCAGGTTGTAAATATCGCTGACCTGGTACATATTCTGCTGCCGCCACCCATTCGGGATGCACCGTTTCAATTTTTAACGACTGTAACTAAGGCTGGGAATGTCAATACAATCAAACTAGCAAGGGTAATGATCACAAGTCAGTCATAACGTGGCTAACACAAGGCCTGTGGGCCAAATAGGACACACAAGCGAGTGTAAATGAGTCAAGAGTTGAGTCATCTACTTTATGAAATTACAGCCTGATGCGCTCGCATTGTTAATTAAACTTAAACTGCGCTGCTTTCGTGTGTCCCGTTTACATCACGCAGCCGTGGGAAAGTGTACAGACACATGCCACAGTCCTAGCTAGGCTACTAAAATGTTGCAGTCTGGCTTCGGTTTTTAAAAGTTTGACAATGATTAACCAAAAAACAAAACCTGCAACAAAACACCATGCAAAAGAGAAAAATGAAAGCCAATTACAGCAACATTTGAGCAGTAGCCTAGGTTGGCTACTCAACTACAATACATTTTGAGTGCACCATACAGCAATGCTGCATTGAACCGCACTGGTGATCCATTAAGTGCAAAAAAATAAGCAAACATGTTTTAAGTTGAAATGTTACAACAACCTATAGCAAAGCTTTTGTTATTTTAAGTTATTAAATACTTTTTGATTAGGGTCGCAGCATATAATGCACATCTGCAAGCATAGCAGCACAGGCTGCAACATTTTCAAAAAAACAGTTTTTGCTTTGTCATTATGGGGTATGGGGTATTGTGTGTAGATTGATGAGGGGGGAAAAAACTATTTAATCCATTTTAGAATAAGGCTGCAACATAACAACATGTGGAAAATGTCAAGGGGTCTGAATACTTTCCGAATGCACTGTAAGTGGACATTATAAAGGGCCATATTTTTTCTAATAAAACAATGGCCAGTTTGAGTCACAGTTGCATGTTTTTTTTGTAAAAACAAATAGGCTATGTCTGGCCCGCAAATTAGTTGTTTTTTCAATATGGGCCTTGCGCTTATTGAGTTTGACACCCCTGGGCTAGCGTATCTATTTATGTAATTAACTATTTATTTAGCAAGCTAAAAACACAAAGCCTAACATTAGCTAGCTAGCTAGCTGCTGGGAGGATGTCGTGTCATTGGAGGAGTGGGTTAGTGACTGACTTTTTCCCCTCATATCGTTTTTCTTTGGCTACATCTAGAGATGCTGCAGGTGTCATTTGGTTAGCTAGCAAGAAATGTGAAACGCTTTGCTAGTTGTTATACACAGTTAACATATCTCTTAGTTGTATTTGGCATTGATCAAATGGGCGGGGAGGCAGGCAAGTTCCCATTCAGTTGTCAAAATGTGCGTTGGGACAAGCGTGCATTGGCAGGCAAGCTGCAAAAGGACGAGCAGGCTACTATTCCCCATCGTTTATCAGTGCAATTTTGAAGGCCAACTAGCAGAAAAAGTTTAAGAGGGTTTATCTAATGTTCCTTCGTTAGATTTTAGCTTATCTCGCTCTAGCTAGCATTAGTTGTTGATCTTGTTGTTGTTGATGTGCATAGGCAACTGAGGGAGAGAACATACCTTTTCATGGTTGTTTGAGAAATAGGATTTTAAAGTTCCCAAATGTATTTACATATTTGCAGAAATCCATTCAGGTGTATTGTGTGGCTTTTGGCGAATGCGTTCTAATGATCTAAAGTGGCACTCTTGCTACTACCTGTAAACACACAGTCCAGTTCAAAGTGAATGATGGTAGGCCCGTGTGGCAAATGGCTTATTTGCATATAGGCCTACTGTAGCTCTGATTGGCTATGGCGCACCTGTCTGCTTAGACTCCAGTCCTGGACAGGACAGATGTTGTTATTTGGTTTTATTTACTGCAGTGTCTATTAATTGTCCAAACGCACGGCCGCTTTCCCACTCTATATTGCTATAGAATTTTCACAAATGCCTTACTATACATCATTCCTAAACATTCTATGTATTTACGAAAACATGAAAATAGATATCTAAGTGCTTGTCAGAAAATGTTAAAAAAAAGATGTCATTCTTCCTGGGGAAGCAAAAAATGCTGTCAGTTCCACTTTAAAAGAAATAAAAAAAAGTTACAATAGAAAAAGCTTATTCAGATTCAGAAGGGTTCTACAGTCTTGCCTTCCAAAGACTCTTTCTTGCCTTCCAAAGAATCATCAAAGAACCCTTCTTCCAAAAATGGTTCTTAGGACATGAAAGGTTCTAGGTAGAACCCTTTGCCTTACAAAGAAACCTTGTCTTCCAAAAGGGATCTTCAAATGGTAGAAATCCTTCCGCAAATAACCTTTTTGGAACCCTTTTGTCTAAGAGTGTGGTCTTTGTCCAAATGTAAAAGTGCTGTTTTAAATGAAAATACTATATTATCCCTCCTATGCACACACCACAATATAGTTAGTTGTCTGTTTTACCAATTTTAGTCAGAATTTGTAATTGGTAAACACTTTAAGACTGTCAAGTAATTTGTCACAGAATCTCTATCTTTAGAGTCTGAAGGAGTATTTGTACATGATGTGAAATGCACTTGCTTGAATGTGACTGACTGGCAGTTTGAGAAGAGTCTAACTGACAATTTTCCCTCCCTCAGGTGGTACTTTGCAGCGATTTCCATGTCAGGGGCTTTCTCTGTCACCTTCTCTGTCATCTTCGCTTATGTCGCTGATGTCACGGAGGAGCATGAGAGAAGCACAGCATATGGACTGGTAAAAAGTTATTTTTATTATGATGTCCAGTATCTTTCTCATTTGATTCCCATGTTGATTGGGGGTAGAGGAGAATTTTATCTTTCCATCTTTCCAATTCTATCTGACAATTATGTGGGTAAAGATCAAGTTCTGTAATTCTATATGGGTTATGCAATGTGCTCTTTTGTGCTTAGAATAGATGTTGGTAGTGTCATGTTCCTGCAAGCCTTCACACAGTGGTTTTCATATCTCATACAGTTGTGTCATGATGGGTCCCTTGAGGTCACAGCATGCAGTAAATCAAATCAAATCAACGTTTATTTGTCGTGTACACAGATTAGCAGATGTTAGGTGGAGCCAAATGCTTGTAGTATAGCATATCCCATTGAATTCTTCAATCCTTTTATCTTTGTATTTTGAACTACATTTCCTTTGTAGCTTAACCACTTGTGAAATGTGAAAAATGGCTGCATCCCTGACAATTGGGTCGTTGACAGCTATTGGCTCCAATACAATAAAAAAAACACACAACACAAAACACACAACAGGACTTCATGAAAAACAGTTACAATTGTCACTGAGTGGATATCATGATTAAATATAAACTGACCTGGAAACAACTTTAGTTCCAAACACACGTTCTCCTCCTGTGTCCCTAGGTGTCGGCTACGTTTGCAGCCAGCCTGGTGACGAGTCCAGCCATCGGGGCGTACCTGTCCGCGTGTTACGGTGACAACCTGGTGGTGTTGGTGGCTACACTGGTTGCTCTGGCAGACATCTGTTTCATCCTGCTGGCCGTGCCAGAGTCCCTTCCGGAGAAGATGAGGCTCAACACCTGGGGAGCACCCATCACCTGGGAGCAAGCCGACCCATTCCAGGTGAGTGCTATGCCATGCCATGCCATGCCATGCCATGCCATGCCATGCTGAGTAGGCTACATCAGCTAATGGTTTCATCAGTGTCAGTGTCCTTTTTTTAAAGACTTTGGAGTCTCTCTGTTGTTTAAAATACTTTGGTGTCTCTGTTGTTTAAAATACTTTGGTGTCTCTCTGTTGTTTAAAATACTTTGGTGTCTCATGTTTGCAGTCAATGAGGAAAGTGGGGAAGGATCCCACGGTTCTTCTCATCTGTATAACAGTGTTCCTGTCCTACCTACCTGAAGCTGGCCAATACTCCAGCTTTTTTCTCTACCTTAGACAGGTAAATATCCAGCTTGTCCTGTATCTTAGACAGGACAACTCCTCTACATTTACCTGAACCATCTGGCAGTAAACTTGAGATTCAATTCAATACAACTTTATTTATCCCCTTAGGGGCAATTAAGAAAACCATGCCAGATTGCAAATGATAACATCATCTACATAAAATACAAGTACAACAAACAACAAGTTATTTCAGCACACAGTGTTGTTTACCTCCGGTTCAGTTCATTTTAGTTCGGTGACTATAATTATAGAGATGGTGTTCTTTCGCTGTTCTTTTTAGATCCACTTGTACAACTCTCTCTCCATTGAGCACAGTCAAGTGCTAGTCATTTAGCATAGTGGCGTTACTTTGCCTTGGACCCTTGGAGCAAAGAGAGAAAGAGAGAGGCTAATGCTGTTTTATGTTTTCTCTCTCTCCATCTTTGGCTCTGTTTCTTTCTTTCTTTCTTTTTCTCTCTGTCTCTCTGTCTCTCTCTCTCTATCCCCACTCAGGTCATTAACTTTTCATCGGCAACGATCGCAGTGTTCATCGGGGTGGTTGGAATCCTCTCCATCATAGCCCAGGTACATATCTGACGCAATGGTGACCGTCTGCTACTCCATTTAACTGTGTCTGTGGGGAACTGCAATGTGTTAACGAACAATCATGTCCTTTGGAATGTATTTAATCTAGCTCCACATTTAGATCTAAATCATGTCGACATAGCCTTAGCCTGCCCGTTCTATCCTACTTAAAAGAAAAGCATTCTAAAGTAATGTAGCAAATCGTGTAATTCCTATGCATACAATATTTCTGAAGAATGTGCCTACAATACATATGAAATAAATTAGCAATCTGTAAAGCACTTATGACAACTTCTGATATAAAATGGGCATTATAAATACATTTGTTTGATTGGTTAATTGAGAATTGTTGTTGCAGACACTTATCCTGACAGTCTTGATGAGAACGATCGGAAACAAGAACACAGTTCTACTGGGCCTGGGCTTCCAGATTCTACAGCTGGCCTGGTACGGCTTTGGATCAGAACCATGGTGGGTCACCTTTAACTCTATGTTCACTGTGGTTAGTGGAGTATGATCTACAGAGCTGTCCTACATAAAGTTAGCAAACAGATTTGTTTTTCTATTGACTAAGAAATGTATTACATGTAAAATCTGTACGTTTATGTAGCTACTGGTATATCTTTCTCCCTCATCTCAGAATCGATCTAAAATGAAAAGAGAAGGTGGATCGGGAATCGATTTTGTCAAAGATCATTGAGCATGCTCAGCAGGGCTGGTCCTGAGTGTGGGACTCCTTAGAGTGGGTCCATTTAGCTAAGTGATGTCTCAGACTGTATGTGTCTGGAGCTAACCACTGTCTCCTCTGTGTCTCTTTCTCTTTCGCTGTGGTTTTTAGGATGATGTGGGCTGCGGGTGCAGTAGCAGCCATGTCTAGTATCACCTTTCCTGCAGTGAGCGCCCTGGTGTCTCACAGCGCAGACCCAGATAAGCAGGGTAAGACATTCCCCTTATTTCCCTTTACTGTATGTAATCTATCCATTTGTCATGCTCTAAGGCATTCCCTTTTTTCCTTCATGTAATCTATCCATTCATCCTGTTCTCTACGGTACTACCTTTCCACCTCCGTAGTCCTTTTGAAAGTGAATAAATGTGTATATTTTTAAATACATTTTTTACTAACATTTTCCATTAAGACACATCACAGCATACAAATGCATGGATGTTTTTAACTTTGACTATTTTGTTTCATAGCAGACCTATCCTGTTAACATTTGAATTTGTTTTTATAATAGACTTTTATCAGAAACAGACCCTCATGGATGTTTATGTATATGGTGTGTTTTCTGTGATGTCATGCTGTTTATGTGTTCTGCCCAGGAACCGCAGATGGTCTATGTAGCTACATGTGGTACACATCGTTCCTGACAAATAAACTAATAACCTTTCTCTCCTCAGGTCTGGTGCAAGGAATGATCACTGGAATCCGGGGCCTGTGTAACGGTCTGGGCCCTGCGCTGTATGGCCTTATCTTCTTCATGTTCAACGTAGAGCTGAACACCATTGACCCCATCCAGGGAGAATACCCCATCGACCCTATACCTATAAACCCACCGGCTGAGGTAAATGAATTACTATCTAACACCAATATAACATTCTCATTCTGCCTCTAGGGCCAGCCAGACTAGCCGTATACATCTCTCTTCTTTAGCTTTAAAACATATTTATTCCTAAGTAAGCGCTTGCAATCTTTATGTAGCTGTAATCCTGTATCTTTCTGTTTCTTTATTCAGAGATGGGTGGTATTATTTGTGTTATATGAATGTGAGATCAAGTTCCTACAGAAAAATAAGTTATATATGAAGTGTTTGATTCCAAAACACGATAAATTGCAATTTTGAAATGAAATTGCTCATGGGTCCGTTTCTGAAATGAATGCTCAGGGATCCCTTTCTATGTGTATGAATTATGGCTGTTCTCATACTTTTAAAACATTTACTTTAGATGTTCTTTAAAATGTTTTTTTTTTTGCTAAACGCAATATGCGACACACTTGTTTCATACCAAAACGTGCTATATCCAGAGCCATGTGTATAGAGAGTTGGGACATTGGGTTTTCTGCATTATGATGCATTTACATGACACTACAAAATTATATGGCAGCCATGTTACCACCCGATTATCATTACACAGGGAATATTTTAAAAATGCTATGTTACTGAATGTCTAGAATTAGAACAATATTCAAAATTCTAAAAGTTGGCCCAACTCTAAATACAGTGCCTTCAGAAAGTATTCATACCCCTTGACTTATTCCACATTTTGTTGTGTTAAAGCCTGAATTCAAAATTGATTAAATAAATACAAAATCTCACCCATCTAAACACATACCTCATAATGACAAAGTGAACATATGTTTTTGAAATGTTTTCAGATTGATTGAAAATGAAATACAAAAATATCTAATTTACATAAGTATTCACACCCCTGAGTCAATACATTGTAGAAGCACCTTCGGCAGTGATTACAGCTTTGAGTCTTTCTGGGTAAGTCTCTAATTTAAAAAAAATATATATATTTCACCTTTATTTAACCAAGTAAGCCAGTTGAGAACAAGTTGTCATTTACAACTGCGACCTGGCCAAGATAAAGCAAAGCAGTGCGATAAAAAAAACAACAACACAGAGTTACATATGGGATAAACAAAACGTACAGTCAATAACACAATAGAAAATCTATATACAGTGTGTGCAAATGTAGTAAGTTATGGCGGTAAGGCAATAAATAGGCCATAGTGCAAAATAATTACAATTTGAGTATTAACACTGGAATGATAGATGTGCAGAAGATGATGTGCAAATAGAGATAGTGGGGTGCAAATGAGCAAAATAAATAACAATATGGGGATGAGGTAGTTGGGTGAGCTAATTACAGATGGGCTGTGTACAGGTGCAGTGATCGGTAAGCTGCTCTGACAACTGATGCTTAAAGTTAGTGAGGGAGATAAGAGTCTCCAGCGTCTGAGATTTTTGCAGTTTGTTCCAGTCATTGGCAGCAGAGAACTGGAAGGAATGGCGGCCAAAGGAGGTGTTTGCTTTGGGGATGACCAGTGAGATACAGTGGGGAGAACAAGTATTTGATACACTGCCGATTTTGCAGGTTTTCCTACTTACAAAGCATGTAGAGGTCTGTAATGTTTATCATAGGTACACTTCAACTGTGAGAGACGGAATCTAAAACAAAAATCCAGAAAATCACATTCTTACGAATTCTGCGTTAACGTGACCCCTAAGTTTAACTTGCTATCTAAGTAAGTTACTTAATTAATATGGTGACGGGGCATCATATTGTGTAAGTTTTCTGCCGTGTTTGAGAAGTCAAAGCCCTTTGGATGAGTTATCTGAACATCTGCCACTACTATCTTTTGATTTCCTTGCGTTTTTCTCCTCCGTTCTCGGCCCGTCTGCTCCTCCCCCATCTTCGCAGAGCAGGCAGGCCCTTTTCCCTAACGACTCCAGACAGACACAGTGTGTACACAAACTTTTGTTAATTTGCACAATGTCTCTCATTCACATTCGCTTGTAAATGTCCAAACTCACCAGTTAGCATATTTAGCTAGCAGCCTCCATGGAAATCCGCTATTACCTGTGCTAATTTTGTTAGCATTCTGGTAGCAGATGCCCAATGGTCTTTTTTGCGTTTTTTTGGTCGCACCCTTGTGTACTAAACCGGTAATCCCGTAATGATCATATGAAAATCTGGAAACTGCCCAACCCTACTGTAGAAGCTTCCTTCTTTTCACCCTGTCAGTTAGGATAGTATTGTGGAGTAACTACAATGTCGAGTTTTCTCCTATCACTGTAACTGTTCTAAAGTCACCATTGGCCTCATGGTGAAATCCCTGCGCGTTTTCCTTCCTCTCCTTCAACTGAGTTAGGAAGGATGCGTGCATCATTATGACTTGGTGTATTGATACACCATCAAAAGTGTAATTAATAACTTCACCATGCTCAAAGGGATATTCAATGTGTGCTTTTTTTTATTTGTACCCATCTACCAATAGGTGCCCCTCTTTGCGAGGCATTGGAAAACTTCCCTGATCTGTGTTTGAAATTCACTGCTCGACTGACGGACCTTACAGATAATTGTATGTGTGGGGTACAGAGATGAGGTAGTCATTCAAAATTCATGTTAAACTATATTATTGCACAGAGTGAGTCAATGCAACTTATTATGTGACTTGTTAAGCAAGTTTTTACTCCTGAACTTATTTAAGCTTGCCATAACAAAGGGGTTGAATACTTATTGACTCAAGCTTTTCATGTAAAATTAATTTGTAAACATTTCTAGAAACATAATTCCACTTTGACATTATGAGGTGTTGTGTGTAGGCCAGTGAAAAGTAGGTGCTGTAACACAACAAAATGTGCAAAAAGTCAAGGGTTGTAAGTTAGTGTTGCGCGGGTCAGCTATTTGTTCACCCGCACCCGCCCGCAATTGCTAATAACCCATCTGCAACCACCCAACTATATGTGATAAAGTGAAAATCTGAGGCCCGCACCCAACCCTAACCCGCAAATATAGAAAATGCACTATAGGCTACAGTCAAAGATGGCAGAAAGATTTTCTTGACAGGGGGTGCAGGACTTTTTTGTTGCCTGATTTAGATGCGTTTCAGTTTATAATTTCTGACATTTTGGTAGGCAATTTTTTTGTAAACTTGTTTATAATTAGATACATGTAGCTTCTTTTTTGTCATTATATGTTGCCCTAGAAGACTAAATAAAAAAAGAGGGAAAGATTTTCTGTGCAAAATGTCCAAATGACATTAGTTTCACAGAAAGCTGTGAAAAGACCCAATGTGTTTTTGATAAGATTTCAGTTAGTCTTCGATGCATATTTTATGTGGTTGAAATACCATAAGCTTTTATGATGAAGACAGCACCTCTACAGATGGTATCAACTGAGCATTGCATTCTCTCAAGATGCAGAAATAAATAAATCATATTTCTCCACTCCTGTTCCCAAGTCCAAATTTAGCCTACATTGGTGTATAATTTTACTGCAAGAAATACTTAATTCTGCAGGAGTTATTATTAAGGCTATGTGAGAGGTTATAGACCTACAGTCATGTCCAGATTTCAGTTCCCTTGACATGCCATAGGCCTATTTGAAGTCCCCATCTTGAGACAGTCGAATTTGTATAGCGCCTCAATTATCACAATTATCACACATAATATAGCCGGCACTGCTATCATCCTCTTTTACCACTTTACCAAATATGGCCCTCCCTTCTCTTTATTTTCAACTCTTCTTTCGCCCTTCAGCCACACAATATTTAATTACCCTAAACCCGTCCGGCCCGCGGATATATAACCGCGGGGACTGCGGGTTATGAGTCAACCCGCGCATCACTAGTGTGAATACTTTCTGAAGGCACTGTACTGTATATGGCTCTCGCTATATCCACTGTCCAGTTGCATGGAACATTACATATGGTTTTTGCCGCTGGTGCAAAAATGAATAATTTATATTTGTCTGTTCATTTGTACGGTAGGTTTCTCTAAATAATTTTTCCACACTTTGGAACGTAATTAAAACCTTATCTTATTAATTTAGGCTAACCCCTGGCTTAGTCAGCCAGATGCAGTGATAGATAGCTGTCACTCTCAGCTGTTTGCACGTTGGCTACCTAGCGTTATGTTAGCTTTGAACTCTTGAGTGTCATGGACCTTTTGATTACTATGGATCCCTTCAACAGTTTTTGGAGTCTGTGAAATCTATTACTGTTGGCCGAAAGATAACTTTCTAAACATGCTCATAAAAAGGAGAGAGCCAAGATCTAATGACGGGAAACACTGCAAATAGCGGGCTGTGTCACTCCGACAATAAGAATCAATCCATCCTTGAACGGCAAATTAATTGCGTCCTTATTATTCCTTAAATCCTTCCCTAAAGAGTATATAATAAAACTCAAAAAGCTTCCTATCATTTATCCTAACAGAAAACCCCATAAAACTCCCATAACATTTTTCAAAAAATTGCTTAAATGTCCAAAAAGAAAACACACATTGTATACACTGTTCACCCTCTGGATACAATAAATCGGCTATGTGATAGGCTTTTTGCACAATATTGTTTAAACAAATTGATTATTTTATATTTCATGAACAGTCAAAACCATGTTTTTCATGAAATTGGATGATATTTGGAAGATACCAGATCAAAGTATGATGACCAAAGTATGAAAAATGGCTGTTGCTTCTACATTGATCAAATTTGATCATAAAGTTACTGGTTCCCTCCCCCATGTCAAACTCTTGGATTCAGGAGGCGGGATTATTAAGGAGATAGGGTGACATCACCCTAACTCTCATTTTAATACACCAATGGTAACATGATATTCTTTTACTTAATTTAAATAAGTATTTGGCGTGTTTGCTGAAGGGCGTGGTTTATATAGTTAGATAGCTACTCTACTGGTGCCAAAATTTGACTGTAGTGTGTCAGCAAATATAATTAAAAGTTTGCCCTGTTCATCTATGGCAAAGATGCATATGTCTCCCCTTTTCCTCTGTGTCTGGTGTTAGCTAGTTACTGGGTAGCTAGGTCTTCAGCCTGCATGGAACAAAAGGGGGGGGAAGGGTTGTTTAAAACTCTGACGCAGATGCAATTTCAATGTTGTTTGAGTTGGTTTGTGTATCACCAAATTAGCTTGAGATGATTTTACTGCAACACCACTCACTGCATCCAAGTTCCTTGACATAGGCGTTTCAAAGAGCTGTCGGTCAAGACAAGCTCATGAGTATAACCTCCCCGCCCACTGAGCCTGTCTTTTCAAACTTCCTGCTAGTTAGCCATGAGAGAAAAACTACTTTTTCTCAGTTTGAACATTTCTATCCCCCAAAAATATTATGGGTGATATTTTAGTCACTCAAAAGCTATTTTACATGGGAATCAGAATTGCTGTTTGGGATCTTTTAATATTTATTTATGTATAGATAGGCCTACTTTATTACATGTAACTGTTTAAAACCCAATCGGGAGTTCTGTTGTTTGGGTTGGATATATAGCATTTTGCCACTCTAAAATAAAATGAAACATTAAGAACACCCCCTTGCCCTCAGAACAGCCTCAATTCGTCGGGGCATGGACTCTACAAGTTGTCAAAAGCGTTCCACAGGGATGCTGGCCCATGTTGACTCCAATGCTTCCCACAGTTGTGTGAAGTTGGCTGGATGTCCTTTGGGTAGTGCACCATTCATGATACAAACGAGAAACTGTTGAGCGTGAAACCCAGCGGCGTCCAGTTCTTGACACAAACCAGTGCGCCTGGCACCTACCACCATACCCCATTCAAAGGCACTTAAATCTTTGTCTTGCGCATTCACCATCTGAATGGGACACATACACAATCAATGTATCAACTGTCTCAAGGCTTAAAAATACGTATTTAAACCATCTCCTCCCCTTCATCTCCACTGATTGAAGTGAATTTAACAAGTGACATCAATAAGGGATCATAGCTTTCACCTTGATTTACCTGGTCATTGTATGTCATTGAGCGGGTGTTCTTAATGTTTTGTACACTCAGTGTATTTCAAACAAAATCATGTCTGGGTTTTCATGAAAAAATTATAGCTCTAGCTCTTTCACAAGATCTGTTTTTAATTCATGTCCATTTACCAACATTTCTGAAAATGGATATATCGCGTTTTGGAATAAAACTCTTCATATCTATACTACCCTGTCTCTCTCCATAAAGAAATCCCTGATCCCCGGCCCTCCCTTCCTCCTGGGCTCGTGCACGGTTGTCGTGGCGTTCCTGGTAGCCTTGTTTATCCCTGAACACACTGAGCCTCCAGTTGTGACCTGTGCCGACACCAAGGAAACCTCCATGCTAGCCGGTGTGCACATCAACACCCTGTTACCGGGCAGCGACGAGGACACGCAAGTGCCGACCAGCGACGAGGACTTTGAGCCCCTGCTTCAGGACAGCATCGTGTGACAGAAGGAGGGCAGCAGGCAGCTTTGGTATTGTTACACCCAGCTACAGGAACTACCCCAACACGCCACTTATGTAGCCTATCTATCCCCAATGGAGGAGGAGAGAATGAAAGGGGGATGGGGATGGGACAGGGGCCTAGCAAACTAAGCTCAATCTTGTGTGCAACTCTGCACCGCACGACCAACCATTAATTCCCTGGTCTACGCCCCTGTCCCCGCCCTTACTCCATAGGAACTAGTATTTATTTATTTAAGAGGATTTGATATGCTGTTTATGATGTTGTGATCTTTCAGGGGATGGTTACCCCAGTGTTTTTAGTTTTTCACCTATAGGACTCTGGACCTTGTTTTGCTATAAGAGTCTGAAGGGAGAGATAGTGGATCCAGCGGGCAAAACTGGTTACTGGTTATAATCTGGTTGTAATGATGCCATTTCAACCAGCTTTGCCCGCTGGGGAGATTGAGTGAGTTATTTTTTTTAACAAGATGTTTAATGGAGGTAGAAGGGAAAGAGCTTGCTATGCCCTGCATTTTATTGCTTCAACGCATTTTCAAACTCAGCTGCGCAGCATTTCAATACAAGAAGAAGATTTGTGCCAGTAGTCAACAACACTTAACATATTTACTTTAGAAGACTGTTCATAGAGGAACTCTGTCACTATGAGCAGCCATAAGATTACGACATAATAAAAGGGATGAGATATTTGTCCAATATTTCATGGGATCTTCTGTTCACAAGCCTTACAATAACTCACATTATTCAGAAAGCACTTATCATATCATTGTCTTATAAGGGGTGGGGAGGCATGAGGGAATAAGATGGTAGGGGAGTAGGAAGATGAGATCTTGGTGTGATTTTTTACTCCAAGATCTCATAACTCCTCACACTTTATTGTGCAGAGTTTTGGTACTTGAACCACTGGTCCTAGAGAAACTGCTAAAAGTGTTACTGTATGGTGAGAATATGGAACTATGTAGGATATTTACTGGATGTGGCCTCATGTCAGTAGGAGGCAGAATTGAGGTGTTAATGATGCCATAATCATTGCTGAGCTTTATGGTTTCATGCAGTGCCCTGCGGTTTCTGTTCAGTCTGTGAAATCCTGATTGTTACTGTACTAAAAAAGTTTTTTTATCTTGAATAATATAATTTATAAGATGTATTTATGATGTATTTTATTGATATTATACATCAGGGTTGGGGGCAATTCCATTTCAATTCCAGTCAATTTAGAAAGTAAACCAAATTCCAATTCCACATTTTCCTCATTGAAAAGCATTGAAGAGAATTGGAATTTGAGTTTGAATTTCAGTGTACTTCCTGAATTGACTGGAATTGAAGTGGAATTGACCCCAACCCTGTTATTCATACTGTAAAAATAATATTGCTAACATTCTGCAACATATTGACCGAAATGTCTAGGCTACTTTGGTAGTAAAAATATTATATTCAACTTTGATGGAGACACATTTTTACTGGTTTTCTTTTTGTAATTTTTGGGAGGATTCTTCATTCTCTTTTAAGTATAACCTTACTCTGAAGTATATTATAGGGGTGGATTTTCAAGGTGAGCTTAACTTTTTTTATTTGTGTGACAAAATCATGAATTTCAATCATTGTTATTTTTCCTTCAATAAATATGTTTGTGTTACTAGCTACCTCAACTTTCAAATTAGTTATTTTGAAGTCTGATTTTAACGTGGTTTAACCATCCGCAAAACAAATAGTTTTCACCCCCCAAGAGTCAAACTTAACTAACCCAGGGTTTATGAAATATAAATGAAGAGAAAGCTATTTCATCCGATCAAATACATGAGTTGCACATTATTATTGTACATAGTCATCCTTCTCTTTTCTGTGAGGTTGTCACAATGTGTAAATGTCCATAGTTCATGTTTTAAATGTACATACAGTATTGAATTAAAACTGCAATTTGTAACTTTTTGGTCTACCTGACCAAATTCACATAGAAATGTGAGTTATAGATATGTAATTCTCATTGAAAGCAAGTCTAAGAAGCAGTAGATATGTTCTATGTGCACTATTTCTGCGCTTCCCGTTCTTATGTTTCATTTCTACTTTCGGTTTTGTATACCAGCTTCAAACAGCTGAAAATACAATATTTTGGGTTATTGAAAATATATTTCACAGCGGTTTAGACGGTACAATGATTCTCTACACTATGCATTGCTTGTTTTGTCACATAAACTGAAATTAGGCGACCTATTATAATTTTAGCAACCAGGAAATGACGAAGTGATTTCTGCATATTGCACCTTTAAGGGTATTAGTCCTGTATCCCTACAAGTTAGGCTTTTGAAACCAGTATTTCCCCCCACATGAACAACAACGCCAAGTTATTTTCCCTAATGTGAATGAGGAAGTAGTTGTGCACTCTAGACCTATCTATCTAAAGAAGCTCATGCCTGTGTTAACTTTAGTATTTACTGAAGGAGATTCCTGTTTGAATGCATGAATAGTGAATAGCTGTCCATGAGACGTCTGGATTTTGAAAAGCGTATAGTATTAGAAAGTTCCACAAATGTGTCGTACTTGTATGTGAACTTTTCAAAGTATTTATATTCATAACAAAGTGGCCAATGGGACAGAAAGACACAGCTACACATACAGTATGTCTTCTTGACTGTCCCTGAAATGATACGATGGACAGCATATTAGGCATATCGTTTTATTCCAGACAATTGATTGGTTATTGCCTGTGCTCAGAGAGTAGAATGTGTCATTGCTTCTGCTTTCCTCTGACGGGTTGCCAGTCATGTCCTTGTTCTCTATGGCAGGGTTTCCCAAACTCGGTCCTGGTGGCTCCTACTGGGTGCACGTTTGGTTTTTGTCCTAGCACTACACCGCTGATTCAAATAACCAACTCATTATCAAGCTTTGATTATTTGAATCAGCTGTGTAGTGCTAGGGCAAAAACTAAAACGTGCACCCAGGGGGGGCCCCAGGACCGAGTTTGGGAAACCCTGCTCTATGGGACCTGTACGCATGTTCCTAGCAGTGAGATAAATTATTGAAGGGAGCAGGAGAAGGTGACGCTTTCTATCTGTCACCTCCAACCCCAATCCTGTTATGAAGTATTTTGACCAAGAATCCATAAATTGATGTCAGGAGGTTAACAGCTAGGGGAGAGTGGCGTAAATTGAGCCACAGGGGTTTCTAGCAAACCATACACAAATTTATAATTTGACCAAATATTTAGGAAGAGGCTTTCATTTCATGGAGTCTGTCATGGAAGAAACCACATGGAAAAAGTGGTAAGCAAGCTAGAGCCAAAAAACATATGTTCATGAAGTCAAAGGAATTGATTGTGTTACAGGTTTCATGATGCTTGTCTCTAAACCAAAGTAGATAATTTAAAGATGGTCCTATACATCCGTTGGGGTCTCTATAAGCTTCAATATGATGTCCTAAACCTAGCATGAAAGTGCATCCTTGTAGCTGTGTGGGCTAATAGTCAAAATGTTTGCCTTGGGGTAAGTTGAGCCAATGGTTGATCCAATGTCAAATTGAGAAAATGTAAGTGTTTTCTTGCCAGGTGTAATGCAAGGCATTATTGCTGGGATATGAGGTAACAACAGGACCTGGCCTATGTTAAAGTATTTGTTAGGTGTTAAGCCTGTGTTAAAAGATGCTTAAAACGATTACAAGACAAAAAAAGCTATGGTGATTGTGTTTATGTTTGGGAAATAAACATCAACATGGTTTTAAAACGGTAGTGGTAGTATTTAATTCAATAAAGACATTTGTAAGCAGCTTAACACCCTGTCCCGCGGCTCAACTTACCCCATACCTGGGGTAAGTTGTGCCAAGAGACCACTTTTTTTGGACAAGCTATGTTTTCAAAACTGTACTGTTTACATGAATTCTGATTATTTCCAGGGATACACAACATTCCTTAAATTTATGTAGATATCTTTGTTAGAAAGAATACTACTGTATATTTTCCTTGACTGAGTGATGCGGAATGTAAAGAAATTCTCAACTTACCCCGCTCTCCCCTACTTTCAGTCAGAGTGACTGTTGTTGAATTTCTTCCGGTGTTGTATTGTACACAGCCTGTAAGAGTAAAATGAATGATGTACAGTATATTAGTATAATGAATTCTATGATGAAGACTATTGCATTGTAATGTATATGTTACGTAAAAGTATCTTGGAATGGTTACAGTACATATCTCCAGGACCGATATATTTTTGGAACAGTTTTAGAATGCTATTGCCCACAAATTTAAAATGCACACAATACTATGAAGTATTTTTGTTCTTTTGTGTTGTATTATAACATGATTTTGTTATCATCATAACACATCAACTTCATAGTTTTGTTTGTAGGATGATGATTTCTAACCATGAGACAACACATTTCACCATGTACTCTTTATGTCTGTATCTGCACCCAGCATCTTTATGAGAGGATTATTATACAAATGTGCCTAACAAGTAAACATGTTCATTTTTGAAGAAAATAAAAATTACTATAGTTTATTCCAAATGGCACCCTATACCCTAATAGTGCACTACTTTTGACCAGAGGCCTATGGGCCCTGGTTAAAAGTAGTGCACTATATAGGGAATAGGGTGCAATGTGGGACGCATCCTATGTAAATACTAACGGTGTACATGGAGTTGATGTTATTGCTCATGATAGCACAAACAAATGAGATGTACATGGGCTATGTATACATTTTATGTCTTGTCTTTAAAATTAAGGTTGAATTGTTAATTAAAAAAACATGACAGGAAGTAATGTACTCTAACCAGTTTTTGGTAATTTATTTTTTATGTGTGTTCATATTTTGATCACTTGGTGGCAGTGTTGTGCTGTGTAGTTTACTGTCGTTTCCCAATAGAAATCCTGATGGGAGATTTGTGCTGCGAGTGTGAAATGTCTGTGAGGACAATGTTTGCCCTCAAGGCAGACTCATGTATGATGCCGTGTTGGGGACAGTTGTTATGTGAAACTGTGTTCCCCAAAATATCTTGGTGCAGCAGTAATGTGACAGCTTTCTCTCTTCACATTCCTTTCCGTGGTGACTGCAGGTCATATGAAGTGACAGACTTAGGATCGCAGCTTGATACACAAATCAAAGTTTAGAGATTGCGTACACAGTTTAGCAGATGTTATAGCGGGTGCAATGAAATGCTTGTGTTACTAGTTCCTAAAATGTCAAAAGTACACAAAAAATAATAATAAACTAGAAACAAGAAATCACGAATGTCAGAACGAATCCAGTTAACAACCCAAATGCAATCTATGCGAATATACACCAAAAATATATACAAAGAATGATACACAGTGCCTTCGGAAAGTATTCAGACCCCTTGACTTTTTCCACATTTTGTTATGTTGCAGCCTTATTCTAAAATTGATAAAAATAAAAATAAAATCCTCAGCAGTCTACACACAATACCCCATAATTACAAAGCAAAAACAGATTTGTAGAAATGTTTGCAAATTCACACCCTTTGCTATGAGACTCAATTGAGCTCAGGTGCATCCTGTTTCCATTGATAATCCTTGAGATGTTTCTAAAACTTGATTGGAGTCCACATGTGGTAAATTCAATTGATTCGACATGATTTGGAAAGGCATACACCTGTCTATATAAGGTCCCACAGTTGACAGTTCATGTCAGAGACGTGAAAACAGCTGTGCAGCAACGCTCCACATCCAACCTGACAGAGCTTGAAAGGATCTGCAGAGAAGAATGGGAGAAACTCCCCAAATACAGGTGTGCCAAGAAGACTCAAGGCTGTAATTGCTGCCGAAGGTGCTTCAACAAAGTACTGAGTAAAGGGTCTGAATACTTATGTAAATGTGATATTTCAGTTTTTTTTAAATTATTATTAGCAAAAATTTGTAAAAACCTGCTTTTGCTTTGTCATTATGGGGTATTGTGTGTAGATTGATGAGGGGAAAAAATGTGGAAAAAGCCAAGGGGTTTGAATACTTTCCAAAGGCACTGAATTACAGTGAACTATGAGAGTCCAGTGTATAAATAGTGTAACAAAATGCAATGTACAGTAGTAGATATACAGTTGAAGTCTGAAGTTTATGTACACCTTAGCCAAATACATTTAAAGTCAGTTTTTCACAATTCCTGACATTTAATCCTAGTAAAAATTCTCTGTCTTAGGTCAGTTAGGATCACCACTTTATTTGAAGAATGTGAAATGTCAGAATAATAGTAGAGAGAATTATTTATTTCAGCTTTTATTTCTTTCATCACATTCCCAGTGGGTCAGAAGTTTACATACACTCAATTAGTATTTGGTAATATTGCCTTTAAATTGTTTAACTTGGGTCAAACGTTTCGGGTAGCCTTCCACAAGCTTCCCACAATAAGTTGGGTGAATTTTGGCCCATTCCTCCTGACAGAGCGTAACTTTACTCTTACAGGCTGGTGTAACTGAGTTAGGTTTGTAGGCCTCCTTGCTCGCACACGCTTTTTCAGTTCTGCCCACAAATGTTCTATAGGATTGAGGTCAGGGCTTTGTGATGGCCACTCCAATATCTTGACTTTGTTGTCCTTAAGCCATTTCCCCACAACTTTGGAAGTATGCTTGTGGTCATTGTCCATTTGGAAGACCCATTTGCGACCAAGTTTTAACTTCCTGACTGATGTCTTGAGATGTTGCTTCAATATATCCACATAATTTTCCTTCCTAATGATGCCATCTATTTTGTGAAGTGCACCAGTCCCTCCTGCAGCAAAGCACCCCCACAGCATGATGCTGCCACCCCGTGCTTCACGGTTGGGATGGTGTTCTTCGGCTTGCAAGCATCCCTCTTTTTCCTCCAAACATAACGATGGTCAAACGATGGCCAAACAGTTCTATGTTTGTTTCATCAGACCAGAGGACATTTCTCCAAAAAGAACGATCTTTGTCCCCATGTGCAGTTGCAAACCGTAGTTATGTCGATATAGGACTCGTTTTACTGTGGAAATAGACAATTTTGTACCTATTTTCTTCCAGCATCTTCACAAGGTCCTTTGCTGTTGTTATGGGATTGATTTGCACTTTTCGCACCAAAGTACGTTCATCTCTAGGAGACACAACACGTCTCCTTCCTGAGCAGTATGGCGGCTGCGTGGTCCCATGGTGTTTATACTTGCGTACTATTGTTTGTATAGATGAACGTGGTACCTTCAGGCGAAATTGCTCCCAAGGATGAACCAGACTTGTGGAGGTCTACATTTTTTCCCCCAGGTCTTGGCTGATTTCTTTTGATTTTCCCATGATGTCAAGCAAAGGTAGGCCTTGAAATACATCCACAGGTACACCTCCAATTGACTCAAATGATGTCAATTAGCCTATCAGAAGCTTCTAAAGCCATGACATCATTTTCTGGAATTTTCCAAGTTGTTTAAAGGCACCGTCAACTTAGTGTATGTAAACTTCTGACCCACTGGAATTGTGATACAGTGAATTATAAGTGAAATAATCTGTCTGTAAACAATTGTTGGAAAAATGACTTGTGTCATGCACAAAGTAGATGTACTAACCGACTTGCCAAAACTATAGTTTGTTAACAAGACATTTGTGGAGTGGTTGAAAAACAAGTTTTAATGACTCCAACCTAAGTGTATGTAAACTTCCGACTTCAACTGTATTAGAATGAGCTATGTGAAGAATACATGATATGAATACACAGTGTGAAAAACAGTATAAAATAAACGGTTCAGTGTTTAATGTATCTACAGTGGGGAGAACAAGTATTTGATACACTGCCGATTTTGCAGGTTTTCCTACTTACAAAGCATGTAGAAGTCTGTAATTTTTATCATAGGTACACTTCAACTGTGAGAGACGGAATCTAAAACAAAAATCCAGAAAATCACATTGTATGATTTTTAAGTAATTAATTTGCATTTTATTGCATGACATAAGTATTTGATCACCTACCAACCAGTAAGAATTCCGGCTCTCACAGACCTGTTAGTTTTTCTTTAAGAAGCCCTCCTGTTCTCCACTCATTACCTGTATTAACTGCACCTGTTTGAACTCATTACCTGTATAAAAGACACCTGTCCACACACTCAATCAAACAGACTCCAACCTCTCCACAATGGCCAAGACCAGAGAGCTGTGTAAGGACATCAGGGATAAAATTGTAGACCTGCACAAGGCTGGGATGGGCTACAGGACAATAGGCAAGCAGCTTGGTGAGAAGGCAACAACTGTTGGCGCAATTATTAGAAAATGGAAGAAGTTCAAGATGACTGTCAATCACCCTCGGTCTGGGGCTCCATGCAAGATCTCACCTCGTGGGGCATCAATGATCATGAGGAAGGTGAGGGATCAGCCCAGAACTACACGGCAGGACCTGGTCAATGACCTGAAGAGAGCTGGGACCACAGTCTCAAAGAAAACCATTAGTAACACACTATGCCGTCATGGATTAAAATCCTGCAGCGCACGCAAGGTCCCCCTGCTCAAGCCAGTGCATGTCCAGGCCCGTCTGAAGTTTGCCAATGACCATCTGGATGATCCAGAGGAGGAATGGGAGAAGGTCATGTGGTCTGATGAGACAAAAATAGAGCCTTTTGGTCTAAACTCCACTCGCCGTGTTTGGAGGAAGAAGAAGGATGAGTACAATCCCAAGAACACCATCCCAACCGTGAAGCATGGAGGTGGAAACATCATTCTTTGGGGATGCTTTTCTGCAAAGGGGACAGGACGACTGCACCGTATTGAGGGGAGGATGGATGGGGCCATGTATCGCGAGATCTTGGCCAACAACCTCCTTCCCTCAGTAAGAGCATTGAAGATGGGTCGTGGCTGGGTCTTCCAGCATGACAACGACCCGAAACACACAGCCAGGGCAACTAAGGAGTGGCTCCGTAGAAGCATCTCAAGGTCCTGGAGTGGCCTAGCCAGTTTCCAGACCTGAACCCAATAGAAAATCTTTGGAGGGAGCTGAAAGTCCGTATTGCCCAGTGACAGCCCCGAAACCTGAAGGATCTGGAGGTCTGTATGGAGGAGTGGGCCAAAATCCCTGCTGCAGTGTGTGCAAACCTGGTCAAGACCTACAGGAAACATATGATCTCTGTAATTGCAAACAAAGGTTTCTGTACCAAATATTAAGTTCTGCTTTTCTGATGTATGAAATACTTATGTCATGCAATAAAATGCAAATTATTACTTAAAAATCATACAATGTGATTTTCTGGATTTTTGTTTTAGATTCCGTCTCTCACAGTTGAAGTGTACATATGATAAAATTACAGACCTCTACATGCTTTGTAAGTAGGAAAACCTGCAAAATCGGCAGTGTATCAAATACTTGTTCTTCCCACTGTATATATATATATATATCTTCTAAGAGCTTAATTCAGGAGATAGTAATTAGTTAAACAACTTATTCCGTGGTGCCCCAAATTCCTAATGAGTTCATTACATGATTAATTTAATCGAGTGACAATTAAACAGTTAGTTGATTCGATAAATAACAGTCATCACATTAATGCAAGTCACGACAGCCTGATTGTTTTTATTGCTTTACTGGGCAGCTTGTCAGAAGTAGACATGCTCATGTTATTTATGTTTGAGCTGATACTGCACGGTGAGCTGCACACAGTGGAATTCCTACTAGGGCACACCGCCTCAGTGCTAACAGTATAACTCTGGTTCATAGGCACATGATTACTGCATACAATAGCTGTAGGATCAACAGAGGCATTCAGGACAGTTAGAGGGACATAAGTTAAGTTACCTACATTGGGTCTGCCAACGCCCCTGGGATAATGTACATTTGCTGCAGCATTATGACAACTCAGCGACACAATGGTAGGGATTAACTGAGCTGGTCTTGGGTCATTGATAAGTCATTGTCTCAACACAGCCTTGAAATGCGTGGATAGAGTCCAGGAGCCAAGATGATTTGCCTGGACTCCGTCATTCCTGTAGAGCATCTTCTGTTTCCAGGTGTCTAAGTTATCTATAAAAGTGATTCCAACAGAGCTACAGTAATCTTTTAGCCAGGTGTGTAATGCCAGTAGCCTGCTGAATCTTTCACACCCGCGGCCCAATGATGGTACAGGACCTGAAATAATTGGCCGCTTTCTGGAATCTTTCAGTTCTAGAATCAGTTCTTTAAAATCAATTTTCATAAGTTCCGAGCTAGCCCTCCTAATGTCGTTTGACCTCACATGGACTACGACAGCGTCAGCTCCTGGCATCTGTCGTAGAACGGTTGGTAGCAGCCTTATAATGTCCTGTACTCGTTCTCCAGGAAGATGTTTCTTACCATAGAACTACCGATGACGACAGCTGGTGCAATGGCTGAGGAGGTCCGGCCGTTCTTTTGCCTCGAGTGGTTTAGCAAACCCCTCGAGGACCGAAGGTCGGTGGGGCCTGGTGGACACGAGCCAGCTGTAGTGTCCAATGTGGATGATGAATGGGCCAGAATCTCAGACAGCCTCACGTCTGATGAGGGTGGGAGCTCTGAGGATCTGAACCCGAAGTAGAAGCCACCAGAGAGGGAGACAGAACAGAGGACAAAGGCGCGGGTACCTCCGGATCCGATCTTGAATTGGAAGCCCCCAGGGAAGAAGGCACCGGAACCTTTGGATCCAGGGCGGCGAAGCTGTTTCTGGTCTGTGTCCGGTCCGACCTTAAAATCTCCAAGGAGGCCCCCGTTGCAAGAGGATGCTGTTTTTGACTTCCACGGCATGTGACATGTCTCCATGGCTCGTTGGTAGGATTGAGAACAGGAACATCCACTACGTCATCCAGGAACATCCTACTAGCTCCATTCTCCAGGGAAGGGGGAGACCCCTTCGGGGAGGGATCCCTGCAGAGTACCAGCCAGTCGGCTGTGGAGCTGACACGGCGGCGACACTTCCACCAGACCAGAGCAGCATCTGGCTACTGGGGAAGAAGAGAAAGAGGCAGGCGTGGATCAGTGGTGGAAAAAGTACTCAATTGTCATACTTGAGTAAAAGTAAAGATACCTTAATAGAAAATGACTCAAGTAAAAGTGAAAGTCACCCAATAAAATACTACTTGAGTAAAAGTCTAAAAGTATTTGGTTTTAAATATACTTAAGTATTAAAGGTAAATGGAATTGCTAAAATGTACTTAAGTATCAAAAATACAATTTCTAATTCCTTATTTTAAGCAAACCAGGCAGCACCATTTTTATTTACGGATAGCCAGGGGCACACTCCAACACTCAGACATAATTTACAAATGAAGCATTTGTGTTTAGTGAGTCCGCCAGATCAGAGGCAGTAGGGATGACCAGGGATGTTCTCTTGATAAGTGTGTGAATTGGACCATTTTCCTGTCAAAATGTAACGAGTACATTTGGGTGTATGGAGTAAAAAGTACATTATTTTCTTTAGGAATGTAGTGAAGTAAAAGTAAAAGTTGGCAAAAATATAAATAGTAAGTACAGATACCCCCAAAAATGACTTAAGTAGTACTTTAAAGTATTTTTACTTAAGTACTTTACACCACTGGCGTGGATTCCCCAGTAGCTTGTGTAGGTTTACTACTTGTTTGCTAAGAGTAGCCACTTCGCCGCTGTAGTCCTCTGCAAGCAAACAGTTGCTACATTGAAAGTCTGGGCGACCCACATTGTCCCAGAATAAAGCAAAATAAACACAGCTCCTGCAGCGTTGAAAATGTTTGTTAGCGTCCTCCATTTGAGGCTCCAGGCTAGCTAGACTAGCTAAGCCAGCAGGCCTCTGTGTCTCTCCTCTTGACAGGGAACTCCCAACTTGCCTGAGAGAGAACCACCCGGCTATCAAAAACGTCAGGCCAAGGTAAGCCTACACCAATTACACAATTAATTAGAATTTTTGTAGAATTCACAATGTGAAAAATGAATGGCTGTGTAGAGTATTATAACTCAGGCTAGTAAAACACGTTTCCTCAACAACACACTCAGTGGCGAACTGGTCATGGCACTGGGCGTGGCCGTGTTTGGCTTGGGCATGGCAGTGGGATGGTGTTGGGGCCGGGTTGGAGATCGTGCTGGTAGCAGGGCTGGAAAACTAGGCGTTGGTGCTGGGTCGGGATCTGTAGAGGGGAGGAAAGACAACCTGAGAAGCAAGCAGACACTCAAGGGAGCCCTAGACCCAGAGGTCAATGGTGGTACTTCCCTGTGGCCTGCTCGCTCTGGGTGAAGGTGTGATCTTTGGTGTTGAAAGCAGAGCTGTAGTCAATGAACATAATTCTCACATAGGTATTCCTCTTGTCCATGTGGGAGAGGGCGGTGTGCAGTGCAACTGCGATTGCATCATCCGTGGATCTGTTGGGGGGGTATGCAAATTGTAGTGGGTCTAGGGTGTCAGGGAAAGGTGGACATGATTGGTCCTTGACTAGCCTCTCAAAGCACTTCATGATGACAGAGGTGAGTACTACGGGGCGGTAGTCAGTTTAGTTAGCTTGCTTGGGTACAGGAACAATGGTGGACATCTTAAAGCAAATGGGGACAACGGACTGAGATAGGGAGAGGTTGAATATGTCTGTAAACACTCTAGCCAGCTGGTCTGTGCATGCACTGAGGACGTGGCTTGATATGCCTTTCGTAGGAACAACATCCTCTATGCCAGTGGTCAACTTTTTTGAGCTGAGATCACTTTCTGAGTCAAAATGCAGGCCGAGATCTACCACTCAGATTTTTTAAACTTAAAATATATAAGTCTATGCAACATTAACCTATTTAAAAACATTCTGTAGCATTGTGGTTTGTGCAGTAGGCTATAGGCCCAATACATTATCACTGCATATTGTCTATGTTTGAATTGCCCTGCCAATTATATTTCAAAACTTGAGGTATATGATCACACTGGTAATAGATCACAATTTGTTGTATTACTTGTGAGGCATAGATAAGTGAGCATGCATTTAAATTATTTGCTTTCTTTATTTTACTGGACTGATGGTGCCTGCATCTGGTGGTCAGTCTCAGCGGAGGGAGAGCATCAGAGGGTCCGCCTGTCACCGTCGGACTGTCCCTCAGCTCTCCCCCCTCCCTCCTCCGCTAAGACTGACCAAAAAGGGGACATCGTCTTCGAGCTGATGGCGAAACTCGAGTCACACCACATTATTTATGTCTCATGCACAAATTCATGTTGTTACTCCTATCACCAGAAAAAATGAAATATTCCTCAGTCGGTATTAAAAAACACACAGACGCTAATAATAACAACACAAGCCTATCGATACACTTTGCTATTCATTCATTGAAGCTGCAGTGCTGGTTGCAGTACGAGTGGAGAAGCTCATTTCATACCTTATAAAAGTGTTGAATAAAAAGTGTTGACAGTGCTGAATAAAAACTTGAACATGCAGGAAGTCGCAGACACGGTGATCTGAGCAATCTGATTGGCTAGCGGTAGACCTATAGGTGCACGTGATTTGCTCTCTGGGTACGCCGAGTAGGCAGAGTTTGTACCTTCAGACACATGAACTGCTTCAAAATGGGAACACTTCGCCTACCCGGCGCGCAGGACAAGGCTTCATCGTTTTTTTATATGAATGTTTTGTGATCGACTAGGAGATCGACTAGGAGATCACCACTGCTCTATGCACTTCCTGATGAAACCAGTGACAGAGTCTGTGTAGTTGTCGATGTTATTCACAGAGGCGACCCGGAACATATCCCAGTCCATGTGATCAAAACAATCTTGTAGCATGGATTCAGATTGGTCAGACCTACGTTGCACAGACCTTACCACGGGTGCTTAGTAAGCATTTCACTGTTAGTTTACACCTGTTGTTTACGAAGCATGTGACAAATGCAATTTGATTCGATTGAGTCCTGGTTTAATTTCTACCTATAAGCGGGGAGGAGCAGAATGGAGGCGTGATCTGATCTGTCAATGGGTGGTCGGGGGAGGGCCTTGTAGCTGTCTCGGAAGGGAGAATGACAGTGATCAAGCGTCTTCTCTCTCCGTGTGGCACAGGCGAAGTGTTGGTGAAATTCTGGGATTAAAAAAAAGTATATTTCCTTTATTAAAGTCCCCAGCTACAGTTTGCTCAAAGTCCCATATTTTTTATTTACTTTTATTTATTCAGGGGAACCCAATTAAGACCAGTGTCTCATTTACATTGGTACCCAGAGGACAACAATTACATTAATACAGCAACAACAAAAACAACTACAAAACAGCTATAAATACAATACATCAGGTTATTACAACAAGTTATAATAATCAATTCAGTGAACTCATTTAACAACAGAGTTTTAAACTACCTGTGACGAGTACTGAGTATACGAAGAGGCAGGACGCAGACGCAGAAATTAACAAGGTAAAGGTTTACTTAATAATGAGAAAGAGAATAACAAAGAGAGAGTAAACGACACAACGCTAACAATTACACACAACAATGAACTAACAGTCCAGGGCTATATAGTGGTGGTGATGAGATGATGAGGTCTCTGTAGCTCAATTGGTAGAGCATGGCGCTTGTAACGCCAGGGCAGTGGGTTCGATCCCCGGGACCACCCATACGTAAAAATGTATGCGCACATGACTGTAAGTCACTTTGGATAAAAGCGTCTGCTAAATGGCATATTTTTATGAGGTGCAGGTGCGCTGGAGGTGATTAGGGTGCATTGGGTTTCCATTCCTGTGTTTGCCGAGGTGGTGTGCTCAGACCGGTGGCTCAGTAGACCGGCGAATCAGAGCGCCGGAGGGGAGCAACGGGAGGAGACGTGACAGTACGCCCCTCACAGCATACGCCGGACTCCCGTCAATGTCCAGGGGTGGAGGGGGCGTACCCCGAGGGACGGCATCCACCAGAGGACCAGGAACCACCGGCCTGAGGAGAGACACATGAAAAGTAGGTGAGACACGGTAGTGAGGGGGAAGGAGCAGCCGGTACAACACCTCATTAATCCGCCAGAGGACCTTAAACGGCCCCACAAACCGGGGGCTCAGTTTCTTGCAGAGCAGGTGGAGAGGGAGGTTTTGAGTGGAATGCCAGACGCGATCACCAGGCTGGAATACGGGAGCCTCGCTGCGGTGGCGGTCAGCTTGGTCCTTCTGCTAACGAATGGCCCTCTGTAGACGGACATGGGCGGCGTCCCAGACCTGTCCGGCCCTGCAGAACCACTCGTCGACAGCGGGCGCATTGTTCTGGCTGGGTGTCGAAGGGGCCAGGGCCGGCTGGTACCCCAGTACACATTGGAAGGGAGTGAACAATGGAGTTCTGGGCATATTCTGCCCAGGGAATAAACCTTGCCCACTCACCATGCCGGTCCTGACAGTAGCAACGACGAAACCTCCCCAGCTCCTGGTTCATGTGCTCCACCTGCCCATTTGACTGAGGCCTATACCCGGAAGTCCCCAATCTTCTCCAGGAAAGCTTTCCACACTCGGGAGGTGAATTAGGGGGTTCGAGACGATGTCCTCCGGAAGTCCATAGTGCCGGAAGACCTGTTGGATCAGGACCTCAGCGACCTGGAGAGCAGAAGGAAAACCAGTTAGTGGCAAAAAACGGCACGATTTGGAGAACCGATCTACGACCACCATGACTGTGGTGAAGCATTCAGAACGTGGGATATCGGTGACAAAGTCTATGGACAGATGTGACCAAGGTCGCTGAGGCACTGGTAGAGGAACTAGTTTGCCTGCCGGGGCGTTCCGAGGTGTCTTCGTTTGGGCACATACGGAACAGGAGTTGACATAGCGAGAGACATCAGAAGCCAAGGTGGGCCACCAGTATTTTAGT